CCCTCCCTTCTTTAATCTCGACCCCGACTTGCGCTCCACCGCTCCCCGCCTCCCATATTCCGACCCCGATCCAAACCAGCAACCGATTCCAAATTTCACCGTGCGCATGTGCACGCGATCTTCACCCTATCTACCTCCCTCTGAGTGCACCTGCACATTGAGACTACTGGCGGCCGCGACACAACTGTTCGAAGATAACGCAGGTGTCCTCAGATGAGCTCATCGAAAACGAAAGTCTCGTGAGGAGCGAAAGGACAAAAGCTCATTTCATTTTGATTTCCTGTACAAATACAAACTGTGAGAGGCTGGCCCACTCAGCAAGAGCCATCGTCATCGTCATCATCATCATCATCATCATCATCATCATCATCATCATCATCGCCGCTATTGTCAACATCGCCATCGCCACGACTTTTCACCCTCATTGCGCGTTTCCATCCGGCGACCTCGTCGTTCCACCGGGGGAACGATCGAGAAGACCCTTTAGGGGTATGATCAAGACCTTCCTCGACTAGGAGGAAGGACATCTATTGCTCCCAGCCGACCGGGAGCGCGGTATTGTCAATCTCTACCTCTTACTAATCCCCTCCCTTCCTCTTACCGACTTTTCTCAAAGATCTCATCTTTTTCCTCATCTTTTACCTCCCCTCCAATACCCCTTCTTTCCCCAACCCTCCCACCTAATTGGTGAAATCATCCAAAATTCCTACTAAGTACGACACGTCTCCTCCTTCTTTGTGTTTGTTTGACAATGCTGCCCATTCTGCCGTTCAGAATTTCACTCTAATTCGTTAGGATTAATCTTCATTCTCTTTTCCCCCAACGCCGTGATTGGAATTAATTTCAGCACTCGTGTTCAAAAGTTATGAAAATTCCTATGGTTTCTTGATTCTTTTCGTTATTTAATTTCAAAAATTCAATTTTATTTCAGAAATTCGTGAAAGAAATTTTGGAATTTATTAAATTTAATCTTTCTGATGTTCACTTTACATCCACTTTCTATCCATCGTAAAATTCTGAAATTCTGCAATGCGTTTTTAAATTCCTTTTTAATTCCTTTGAAATTTCTTTGAAATTCATTCCAATCCTTGAAACAAGCCAAGAAATTTAATTCATTTGCTCTACACAATCCTGGAATTTCTCTCAACTTAATCTTTGCAGCTATCACTAATCCTTTCTGAAATTTCATCGTAAATTCTTAGTTTAAGAATTAGTTTCCTACTTTTATTTTAAAATTTCCTTGAAACTCTTTTAATTCCGAAAATACGTTGAGGAATTTTTCGTTTTATTTCAAAATTTTCCTATCAACTCATCTCTACATCTTTCATCATCTCCTCAAACTTCTGAAAATTCTTACGACCATTTTTTAAATTCTTTGAATTTTGCTTAAATTTCTTCTAAATTCTGAAATTACGTCCAAACACTTTCAGAATTTTATTTTGAATTCGTGATTGTCTTATGCATGCTCCCGTCTAGACCCAAGACTATTCTTTGAAAATTTTATCCCATCGTCCTCCCTGAATTGGAAATTTTCCTCTTTGCCCTTTAATCCGATTTTGAATTTCATTGATCTAAGTTCGAAAAGTTTGTCAGAGCTCAGTTACACTTGTCTTTCTGTCGCAGTCTCTTACTCCTGTTTCTGCGTACCAACCTGGCTCCCCGTGATCCTCATCAGAGAGCACTTCAAAATCGCGCCCGAGACACTCGCGCCGCGAACCGACTCGCTCGCTTTGACGCACCGCCTACTACCACTGAGCCACCCACCCGTCCCAGTTCTCACTCCTCACAGTCTCCACCCCTTGACATCATGCACACGATGGGATCTGCGAGCCCCGCCCGCTCCCCCAGCGAAGGGCTTGCGTTCATTGCCCAAGAGCAGACTTCCGACTCAGTGGCCACCCAGATGGCAACCAGCTCGGGCCCGACTTCCCAGTCAGACCCCATATTGGACATACTCCAGCGTATCGAGGCTAGATTCACGGCCCTCCAGACCGATGTCTCATCCTTGTCGGCCCGTGTGTGTCAGTTGGAGCCCTCTACCAACGCATCCACCTCCACGTCATCCTCATCTGTGTCTATGGTAGCCCCCTCTTCTTCATCAGCTGGCATTATCTACACGCTTATTGCCTCTACGGGCTGCATGTCCTCATCCCAGTCACACCCTTCATCTGCAGCCACCTCATCCTCCACAATCTCCTCATGGGGACCCATGGCGTCGTGTTCGGCGACCTCCTCAACTCTTGTATCCACAACACCTCTCTCACCACCCCCCACTTCTTTACCCCCATCCCCCATGACACCCCGGACACAGGTCATCCAGCTCCAAAACGAACTCGCCTTGGCCAAGGACCAAATACGCCGACTCCAGGGAGGTCCACCCCTGCTCGCGACACAGCCTGTGGCCCCCTTCATCCAGCGACAACATCCGGCACAGGCTGCCGCGATGCACTTGACCCTCCCACCATCGGCCACCACTATGTGTCAGGGACCTTTATCCCAACTCCTCGTTCTCTCTAGTACTCAGATTGGCACCAACACTTCTTTTGTTCTCTTGTCACAATCGGCTCTCCCCCTCCCTCCTCACTATCAGCCACCAACATATGTTCCACAGTTTCGACCGGACCGCCTTCCCCAATTCGGCGACAGGGCATCCGAGCTCCAGGGATGGATCACTACTTCCTAGGAGCAAGTTCGGTACCATAGTGTCCCCATGGAACTGTGGCCCGTCGAGATGTCATCCCGTTTCACAGGTCGCGCAGCCTCTACCTGTCGTGACTTCCTCGCTCTTCGATCTCAGCGAGGTGTACATGAGGGCATGAGCTATTAGGAGTTCCGCGATTTCCTGCAGCAGTACTTTTCTCATCCTGCGCCGACCCGCGACCCGATTTCCCGGGTGGCCGAGATCAGATGGCTTGGTGGCGACAATGCCCTCGAGTCATACATCACGACATTCCACCGCGTCCGCGCCCAGATCCTTGTCACCACCATACCGGAGGATCCCATGATCCAGCGATTCCGCGGAGGCCTCCCCCTGTCATTCAAGCTGCAGATGATGGCCTACTCCATCTCTACGTTACCAGAGGCCTTCAACATTGCTCGGGCCATCCATCTATCTTATTCTCCACTTGTTGGCTTTTCGCCTCAGCCTCCCGCCACCTATGCTGCTCCTGCTGCAGCCCCTCG